CGAACCCGACCGCAGCGCCCCGCACGGCAGGCGGGGGCACTCCAGGGACCACGTAACGGAGACAACTAACTCCGAGCGACGGACCGAGGGGAAGCTTAATCCCCGAGTTAACGTTCCCGGGCAGAGGTTTTCCCCTTCCACACGCACCACCCGCCCATCACTCGCTTTTAGCGCAGGGTGTGACGAAGTGTTTTTTTCTTAATCTTCAAGCCGAGCAGGCTCACAAGGTGGTTGCGAGTTACAAACCCTCCAAGTTCGACAAAAAAATCCTCCTCTGGACTGGACGTTTCAAGACAGAAGAAGAGATTCCTCTGAGGATCCCGTAAGTGCGCTGCTCTTGTCCAAGGGGAACACGGAGCTGATGGGAAAGCGGTGGCGTGATCCTGAGCTAAAGCTTTTCCGCTGGGTTTGAACCAGTCAGTTTTTCAGCGCTGAAAACTTGGAAGGAAATCAGAGGGCAAAAGAGTTTCCTGTCCTGGTTAGAGGTTAAGATGAAAAAATGTCCCTTACTGGGGTCCCCAGAGCCTGGGATTAAGAACTGGATCCATCTGAGTAGATAGCCTCTGTTACATTCATGTACTGGCTTGTTTATTTTGTTTATTCCTAATGTGCAAATGGAGAAGGATGTTAGTGGTAAACCTTATTTTCTGTTTATATCTCCCATAAACAGTTCTAAGGGACCTGACTGAATGGTTACAGCCAACAAATTAAGATTGATTATAGAATTCGAGGAAAAATAGGGAAGGAGATTGAGAGAAACACCCCCCACCAAGGAAAACCGAGTACTTGGCATAGCCTTAGCCTCTCATTCGTGCTGACTCTCTGGGCTAGATGATCTTTGAAGGTCCCTTCCCACCCAAACTGCGCTGATTCTGTAGTGCTCCGACTCACTGAAAGTCAGCATCCTCCGGGGGAGTCAGTCACTGAACTCTAATGCCAATTGCTGCCTTTTCCTTAGCATGTTCGATAGCGTGTTAGACATCTCTCTCCAGGACGCTACTCTTCATCACCACAGTATGTCCCTGTCTTAGGTACGCTGAGCACACGCAGCATCCAGAGCTGTGTCAAGCAACAGGTACATCTTCTGCCTGTTGCCGGTGGGTCCTGACAGTTTCACTGATGTTTCCCGAGCTGGACAGTGGCTTTCCACTGTCCCACCTCACCCGCGCTGTGTGAGTCCCACCTAGGGAAAGGTTCGGAGAGGTCTCAGAAGCTCTAAAAGCTACTGAAGTCATCGGGAGGTGTTTATAAGGACACACACGTTTGCCCGTCCACACACGTACAGGCACACAGACTTCTCGTTCCTGTGCAGTAGTTGGCCTGCCAGGTGCGTGTCACCGCTTTGGGCTTTCTGGGTGAGCAAAGACTTTTTAGAACTGTAGGATGATAAACAGTAATATATTAAAAGAAACTAATTGTGAGACATTGAAGCTCAGTTGTGTCACTGCCTTAACTATTAGAAAAACAAAAGGATTGCAAGATATTGTTACCGGGGAATACAGTCTGGCTGTGGAAGATAGTTTGTATTAAGGGTCAAATCTGCAGTCCTTATTCAAGGTAGGTTGTTTTTTTAAAAAAAAACAGCTGTTACTGACTTCATCAGAGGTTTAACCCGAGTCTTGATGAAGAACTGAGTAGCAAAGGCCCTGATTTGCAATTAGGGAGGAAGATAATCAGGTCTGTTTTTCTTAAAGCAGAGGCAGAAAGCAGGGAGCAAAGCGACAGTGCGCTTCAGAAGAGTTTCAATTAGTGCACTGCAAAACACGATTAGGCTAATAAGCCAGCCTAATAACATTTATGGTTTTGCTTTTGTTGCTACAAATGGATTAGTGGATTAATGAGTTTATGTGCTAGCCTGGTGTGCAGTTTGTTTTTAAGACAAGGTGCGTTTACTGGCATACGATGCACGCGTGCGCGTTGGCAGGGAAGGGGGTGGCCAGGCACCGCCCGAGAGGCTTCCCCTCCTCTGGTGCATCAGAGCCTTCGAGAGAAGTGCCGCGGCCCTCGGCCTTGGCACGTACACGCTTCCGGGAGCTGAGCTGCCACTGTAGGAACCCCAGCTCTTGCCCCATCCCACCACTCATCCTCTTTAAGGTAAAGCCAAAGGTGTTTTGGGGGAGAAGATGTCATTATAGGATCTTTACTCACAACATAAAATGGATTGTTTATGCAACTATCCTTTTTACATATATATAAATCTGTAACTATGTATATTGTATACTCGCGTTCTGAATATTATAGAACATAAAGCATTCCCATGTGATTTATGAAAGGAGAACAGCGCATGGCCAGCATTTAATGAACATCTTAAAAACTCTACTCCCAAGTGTAATGTCTGACCCAGAAGAAGATTTGGCCAAAAGTTTTGAGGCCATTTCAGTGCTGGGGAGATTTCCTGTACTGCGGGATCCCAAGGGTATGCAGCCTGCTCGCACAGAGGAGCTGCACGCTCCCCCTCCGGCAGCAATGGCTGCCAAACAGGGCAGAAGTTCTCATTCCTTTTGCCTTTGACGACCAGCAAAAATAATCACGTAGGTTGCTTGTGCTGAGGCGGGTGTTCCTGCAACAGCACAAAGGCTGACATGAGCCCTCTGGCCACGAAGATGCTCAGAGGGCTGGAGCACCTCTGCTATGGGGACAGGCTGAGAGAGTTGGGCTTGTTCAGCCTGGAGAAGAGAAGGCTCCAGGGAGACCTTATAGCACCTTCCAGTACCTGAAGGGGCTACAAGGAAGCTGGGGGGGACTTTTTACAAGGGCCTGTAGTGACAGGACAAGGGGTAATGGGTTTAAACTGAAAGTGGGGAGGGTTAGATTGGATATCAGGAAGAAGTTCTTCATGGAGAGGGTGGTGAAGGCACTGGAACAGGTCGCCCAGAGAAGCTGTGGATGCCCCATCCCTGGAAGTGTCCAAGGCCAGGCTGGACGAGGCTTTGAGCAAGCTGGTCTAGTGGAAGGGGTCCCTGCCCATGGCAGGGGGGTTGGAACTGGATGGTTTTTAAGGTCCCTTCCAACCCAAACCATTCTGTGATTCTATGATTAGCCGCCACTTTGTGTAAAAGCTGCCGCCTTTGGGAAGAAGCAAAATCGTAACACGTAGCAGTACAAACTCCAGTTTGCTCAACTCTCCAAGGATGTGAACTCCCCAGTGTACAGGGCACCGTCCAAACAGGTTAGATACGACAGGAATTAATTTCTAAAGTTAACCTGGAGTAACAGGAACTTGCTTTTGCCACATCTGGTTGACACCACATATACTTCTCTTTCTCTTTAAAGTAAGACAAACCCCCTTAACTGTCACTGTGTTTAAATAGAGCTTAAGGTATGATTTCTGGTGTATTTACATGCAAGTATTTATGGCATGAGCAATATTTTTTCCAGAAAAAAACCACCAAAACCCAAACAAAAAACCCAGCTTAAATGCATTAAATGTTTCATTTCCACAGAAAATGGCTTAGGGTCAGAAAACACCAAGTTCTTGGGTGGTACATAACCAATTGTGGTAAGCTGAAAATGCTTGTTTTAGACACTAATTCTGTTTCTTTTTTTCAACGGCGATGTTTGGTCTGCGATGCTTTGGAGAAGAGAGACTTCCCAGGTTTGTAATACTCCGGTTCAATAACTTCAATTGCAGGCCAGAGATGCTAGACAGGGCCCGAAACAAAGCGCGAGTTAAAGCGTGTTACATCATGATTGGCCTCTCAATCGTCGCTTGCTTCGCGGTGATCGCCTCGGCTAAGAAGGTGAGTACGGCGCTCGGTAGCTTCCACTAGCGTAACGATGACAGGATTAGTGAGAAGTAGGCAAACGGAAAGGAAGGGCAGCAGCTCACCCCCAGCCCAGCTGACCTACATCCCTGTCACCCTGCCATGCAGTAGCTGTTGACTTCCCCCGAGGCACATCCTCACTCCTCCTAGGGACACCGCTCCTAAGGAGGCGTTTTACTTCCGCAGGCTGCCGCGCGTCACGAGTCCCTCACCAGCTGGAACCTGGCGAAGAAGGCCAAGTGGCGGGAAGAGGCCGCACTCGCCGTGGAGTCGAAGACAAAGTAACTTACTACGGAATGCTGAGTGTACCTTGTAGGAGCAAAATTAACACCTTCCGAGAGCCATCAGTGAATTTCACCAACAAACAGGAAAGCATGGAGCCAACGAGTAGCTACAGGATCACAAAAAGAAATGGAGGGTCTCTTAGAGAGATACTCAATGTACTCGTTGCAAATTATTAAAATTGGAATGTTTTCCACCTGATTAAAAGCAGTAACTAATTTCAGAGGAGATGAGGTGGTTTGCTAAGAACACCATGTATGGGGGGAGCCAAGTTTCCCCTATCTTAAAAACTTCAGAAGTCTTTAAAAACCTTCTTTCAGGCTTATCTTGAGCTGTTACATGGGCAGGAGTTCCTTACAGGAAAAGCTAGCTGTACTTTTTCAGGGAAAGGTGAAAGTCCGAGCAGTAGCGAAGGCATGAAAACTGCAAAAACAAGGAGACCTGTGCAATTCTGAACAAACCGTAACTCAGCCAGAAATCTTATCCACCGAGAAGGTTTGGAGAAGGGAGGGGAAATGACCTGATAATCCCACAGATTCTCGAGTCCTTCTAAGTTTCATGGGGAATCCCCAAGCGCAGCCAGGGACAGGACAAGCGTTTGGTCACGTGATTACACAGGGTGTTTCAACGCGAAGCGCCTTCTGCCCGGTGACAGCAGCGAGCTCTGGGGTGCACACACCGGCCCGTTTGAACGCCTTCGCCGTCAGCGCTGCATTCGAAATGGCGTTGGCATTTTCCTAGTTTAAGCAGCCACACTTACTAAAACACTAAACGAATACACCAAACATCTGTAAAATAGGTTTTATTGGTTTCTGTACGGTATTTGGAGATTTAACATTCCATAATATTGCATACTACTCATATGTGTTCCGTTACAGTAATGGGCCTTTGGCCTGGCTTTCAAGATGCACTGCTACGACCTGAAGTTAGTACAGGCGTCTTAGTTGCCACACGTGACATGAAGAGAGCGTGCCGTGAGTAACTGAAACGTCTCGCTCCAGGTTTCAGCAGACTCCTGAGGTCACGGTCAAACTTCACGCATCCAGTGGCAGACCTGTGACAAAACCCCTCAGTTGCACGATGCAATAAATTCAACCAACTGAGAACTAACCGTGGAGGAAAGACAATAGTGCATCTTCTCTCTTTTTTTTTTAATTTTAAAGACAGACCCGACAATAAATATTTTCCAGTTGGAAACTTGTTCTACAGCTAACTTATTTCTGTGCCAACGTTATTACTATTTTCTGATTGCTGCTAGCAACACTGTCTAAAGCAGATACTAGAAAATTAAAAAGCTGTGTGAACCAGCCCTCGGACAAAAGTGCAGTGATGACAAAAAAGAAAATCAGATATGAGTCAGTGTATCAAGAGTAGGGAACTAAAACCCAAAATCTCACGCTTTGCATAGTTGCATAGATTTAGCTTGTTAGTATTCACATTTAAGCAGAACAAATGGTACCCTTTTAATTAAAACCAAAACCACAAAATCCAGACACCTGTATTTTTAAACGGGCTTTGTAACTGATGGGGCGCTTCAGATTCCATATCAAATACCAAACTTCAAACAGATTTTCCTCTCGCAACTGTTATTTTTTTTCCCCTCCACACTGGTTTAGACAACATCATACCCTCACCCCTTATCTAAAATGGCTGTACCAGAGCTGACCTCAAGTCACCATCTCTGGGTTTATATTGTCCATTTCTGTGCTTTTAACAAAGTGTGATGTAATCCCAGTCACAAAATAGGAGAGGCCATCCTGTAAGGTGATCCTTTAAAGTAGAATTATTATTTTTTTAACAATCTTAGGGTAAACCAAATGTTGAGTTTGAATGATTCTCATCAGCTCAAGTCCATCAATTTTAGTTCCCTTTCAAACCATTACAGTTAAATGTACCAGAGGCATGAAATACAATTCATCTAAAGGCATAAAGTGCAGTCACTAACCGTTCACAATATACAATAACATATCCACACAACCAAAGACATTCTTTCAAAACAAATATAATACTTCAAATGTCCCCTCCTTTTTTTCATTTTCAAGTATTTTAAGCAAGATTTTTATAGTTCAGATTTGGTTTAAATTAGAGAGGCTTATAAATGCAGTTTTTACAGGGTTCTCCAAATAAAAAGCAGGCACAGCTGGTTATGTTATCAAAAGAAGGTTGTTAGAAACAATGGAATACCCTGTTACCTGAATCATTTTCTTACACTAGAACAACATCGAAAGTCAGCATTTACTAGTAATCCTGGTAGATTTCCATGACTCTTACCCTGTACTTTGAACAGATGGGGTGGGGAAAAGAAGGAAGATCAGTATATGAAAACCTAAAACTATGAGAGTAAAAAGGGCACAAATACAATCATCTAACATTATATGAAAATTTGGCAGCTGTACTCAGTATTATCACACTATTCAAAACTGTTTATGCTGTACAAATCTAGGTTTAAAGTGTCATTTGCTAAAATATCTCATTATTCAGAGTTCATAAAGTAACAGCACTCCTATATACAGTTCTATCTTCCACTAAAAAGACTTCAGAAAGAGGTTTCTTCCCTCCCAGTTACATCTTTAGCCAAAACTGACCATTAGTCTTAGAAAATCCACTTCAAGTCCCACGTTCAACTACAATATTGTATATATTGCTGTAACATCAAAGTGAAACATCTTAGAAACTTAACTCGCGTGTAAAAAAAACCTCTAAATATAAAATGGTTCTGTAAATGATACCACCTTGAACCTGTATTTTTCAGTGCATTAAGATATTGTTTAGTGACAAGCACAGTGCCGTGGGGTAAGTAATTTGAAGTTTCGATTGCAGCTCTTTATGAAGCAGGAAGTGCTGTCATATGTCAAGGATTTCACTTAACCCAGCAGTCTGATGTTAATACATTAATTACAGGTAATAAAAAATAATCAGACTTCAGGGTTAACCCAAAGTATTAATTTCTCCAAATGAGATATACTACTAATACACCGGAAACACTACTTATATGCAAGTCAAAGCCGAGCATACTTTTTTCTGTAGTCAAAACTGTTAATGTAAATATTAGAATTCTATTTCTTCTAGTGTTTAACAGCAAACACTGTATACTGTAGCGCCTAAATATTTAGATGACAGTAACTTTTAGTTAGTTTTGGTGTCCACATACTTAATGCTATTTACAGTACAACAAGCTTTTCCTTCAACTGGAGTGATTCACTGCTCGTTCTTCACTGCAGCATTTCTGTTGTCTTGCCAAAGAAAACCGAGTTAAAGAGCAATTCAAGTGGCGGCAGCGTATTTGGTCAAAATAACAACACCTACTTGTCTAAGCTTTTAAGAAGCAACTGTACTAGAAAGGCAAACATTGCAGCGTTTCTCAAACTAAAGTGGTGCCACCACATTTTGACAGGAGACAGCTGTAAGCCACCTGCTCGGTGATTTGTGCAAATCAACCACCTCTGTCGTTGGCGGTCGCAGCGTTCTTGCGGTGACTGCAGCAACTGCTTCCACTACAAATTGCGGCATTTGTGGCTGACTTTTAATGCCATTTAGCAGCTTTAAATTACAGAGCCAACATCAAATGACCAGCAAGCCCTCGGCTGATTCCAATTTGAAAACCTCTGAAATAGTCCTCTTCCCATGTAATTCAGAAAAAGCTTTTTCAATATATTCAATATTATATTAGGTAATTAGCATTATATATGTATATCTATTAAGTCTTTAAATACATTTTATAAATAAACTTCAACAGTGTGTCGTAAAGTTAAGTAATGCATAAAAGTTTCACAATTTAAATAAATATTTTTCACATTCCAATTCAGCTTCTTACAAGCTCATCTTTATTTCATGCCTTAGTTCTGAAGCAGTGTTTTTGCTTCAATACAAGAGGTAGATTTGATAGAGACTGGGCAAGTCAAGCCTACTGCCAAAAACGCAACTGTCAGTAACTGTATTGCTGATATGCAGTTTGAGACTACATGAAAAATTCAGAACCACTACCTAAAATCCTACCAAGTCTTAGCTTAACAGTTCTTGTTAAATCACATTTAATGCTTTACTTTAGACATGACTACTCACAGTTGTTGTCTGTACAGAAGAGATAATGAAAAACACAAGTACAAAACAAAGAACAGTTGTATCTAACACGATATATAAAAGTGCATGAGCTGCTTCATCTATTTCTGCAAAACATATTCAACTTCTCCTCTAACTTTGGCCATAAAGACAGACCTCTGGGGAAAAAAATAAAAAGGAAGAAAACAAACCACAAAACAAAACCCTACAAGTGTTTCCATGTTATGCTCGTCTTCACTTCCAACAGCTTACAGCTGAAACCCCTCCATTGGAGCTTCCTGCTGTTGAAACACAAACTGCTGCTGACTTTCATCCACCTGAGGTGCAATACTGGAGTCTTCTTCTTCGACACCAAAGTAATGTTCTATGAGTTCAAAAGCCTTTTGGTAGATCTCTTGGTTCTCATGCCTCTGAAGAAACTCAATTTTATCAAGTCCTAGATTCAAAACAAAACATTTTCAAAATCTAATTGCTTAAATGAATGATGATTTCAAAGGGAAACAGCTTATAGTATAGCGGTCCTTCTTACATAAAAGAATACAATCCCAAATATCACGTCAATTCATCCTGCATCACCGCTTCTTCATTTTCTAACCCACATAATTTCCAGCACCACCTTCTGCTGTCCAAACTAATTTTAAAACTATGCTAAAAGAACATCCATTAAACTGAAGAGGAGGAGGAGGAAGAGGAGACTGCAGTATCTGCAATGACATACGCCATGCCTACAGAGAAACTGAATCTGTCACTGGGGAGAGTCTGGTACCTTTTTTCAAATTTAAGATTTGAAGGTATCTTTCCAAAGGCTCATCCTAGAGCTTCTAAATGATAACATCTCTGCTCTGCTGACAGAATTAAGTGCCTGGCAGTCATTTACGTTGATGGAAAACTCTTTTTTAGTTATTTTAAGATGGATTAGGAAGAGCTCATACAAACCCTTCTGGTGACTATAGATGCCAAAGCAACGGGGGCGATATAACTGCTGTTTGCCCTACTTGAACCTGCACTCTACAGCTTCGGCAGCCTACACACTTCACGGGTGAAAGAAGAAAAGAACCTAGACATTCAAGAGTTGAGAACAAACTCGAAACCTGGAACAGAATAAACTCCACTGAAGTATTCAGTACTTATTCCTCTCACACATTAGACTGCAAAGCAAGTTCTCCAAGTACGTGCTTGATTTTAGAATCAAAACTCTGTACCTGGGAATTCAGAATCAAAGGCTGCTTTACACAAAAGTTAGTACCATCTATTCGGATATAATGTGGTCAACTACAATTGTTATTAGCAGGTTTTGAGACAGATATATCTGCCAGTTTTGCTTTGTCAGAGCTACAACAAAGATAACCCTCCATAAATAATGCCAGATTCACTCTAAGACAGGTTTAACATGAATTTTCTTAAATCAAAAGCATCTAGTAATGAAATTCCACAAATGTCATTTTAGTTTTGATACTCTGCCTTTAAAACATGGTTTAATTCAACAATTCTTAAAAGAAGAAAGAGAACAAAATACTTTCACAAATTAAGTACAAGCTCATTTAATTTTATGCTCCGAAGTTGATTTAGCTATGACTGCTATTAACTACGCTTATAAAGAGATCCAACTTTGGAAATAAGCAAAAAAATCTCTGATCTCACATCCCGGGTTGGTAATGAAACTGTACTACACAGGAGTATATATTCAAGTAATAAAACTATATTTAGGATTGGCTAATAAACTCACCCAAACCATGGCTCCAACAGATTAAGACACCCGTGTGTCAAATATTTCTGATAATGGTTCTCTAAAGGCACATTTCATAAACTAACCACAAACACTCACAGGTTTTCTGCATGTAACCACTTTTCCCATGTTGCATTACCTAATTTATGATGCTTTTACGTCCACTTAACACTTGAAGTAAAAATTCTAACATTAAACTTACCTACAAATAAGGTAGTAATGGTTCACAATGGTTTTGTTTTTAGAGCCTGAAATAAGAAGCTCAGGTATGCAGTTTTACAAGAAGTAATTTCTTACCATATGCTTCCTCTATAAGGGCACAATAGGGATTAATGCCCAATCCATTTTGCTTAGACTCTTGTTCTCCGAGACGCAGAATATTTTCAAGTCCATTTAAAGCCACTTGCACTATTTTTGAATCCATCACAGTCAGGAGGTCACAGAGAGGCTTGGTACAACCTAGTGCTACCAAATACCTTTAAAGCAACAGAAAAACAGAAGAGGATGGGGGGGTGGGGGGTGGAGAGGAAGGAGGACTGATAATCCAGCACATTTATTCCAATACACATTCCAATATCGCTATTGGTACTTAATTTTGTTAAAAGAAGCAGCTGAAACGAAAACATCCAAAACACAAAAATAATCTTAGTCTGAAATTGAATAAACATTCTGATTTATCCTACTGAGAAAATTTAACTGGAGTTAAACACGAGCGACGGATACGAACACTGGAAAACGCTCTATACTAACACAGTCCACACTAGCAGCCCATTAAGATGTTAGCATTACCTCCTATAAAAGGAAAGACATACTTGTAAATACAAAAAGATACTGGGCTTCCGAGTATCCTATTCCTTCTTCCAATTTTGCACAAAACTGTGCAGCGACTCTGAAAGTCAGAATCTGCGTCCTTGTTTCTAGTGTGCAAGTAAAATGAAAACTGTAATGTTGATCTGCATCAACAGATTGCATAAATATGGTTTATTTAGGGGTTTTAAATTATCCTGCAGTTAGACAGCAGTTACCTCGAAAACGTTAGAAGTGCTAAAGCTTGATGGCATAGATAATATATCTGTATTTTGGGAAGAGAAGCTACTTGTAAGTTCCTACATGCACATTTACTATTTGAAGATCCTGAATTAAGATGTTTAAAACATACTAAATTTTAAGATATCTTGATTGCTGGCATGGTTTTGCTGTTACCGTATGCAAACAAACTTTCCTCACCTCTGATAAGACTTCCTACCTATAAGAAAACTATAGGACTGTTTACATTTTGAATATGTCAGCATGCGCTTACTGCAAAAGACCACCCTAATGTGCTACAAGACTTTTCACTTTCAATTCTGGCTTCCACTGTCACTTTTAAATCCATTTATCAACTACTGATTCAAACTGATTGCTGTGCTGCTGGCATTCAGAGAAACCACAGAGTATTTTATTCTAGTCATTCAGGAAGCCCAATCTTTGCAGCACATAAACAGCTGCTGATAGTAAAATTTAAATCAAACTCAATTCTGAAAAAGGAGTTTTGCTTTAAAATAATACTGATAGCGGGTTGAAAATACAAGAAGAAACAACTAAAATTCTTAATATCTCTCCACAGAGAGATGCAATTCCATTGCCCACGTTTTCTAAACGACTCTCCCAAATTTTTCCGTTTTCAAACACTGAGACTGTTCGTTAACTGTTCCAATTGTGTCTGACAATGTATCAACAGCTTTGGAAGATAACCCTGTGAAAGCTTTACGTGTAACGTCACTGAAACAAAGCAGTATCAGATAATTTGATATTAAGTCTACTGCATATATTTCACTCATTTTTTCTGAGTTTCTACATGTTTAGTACCTATGTCAAGTTAGTGACAAGGAATTAGTTGTGTTTAGGACTTTGCTGCTACGTTTGTCTGGCTTCAACTGCAGAAATAAAAATGCCTTAGAAAAGATACTTAGGCAGAGAAAACAGTAACATACATACTTACCGAATCTGTTCAGGTGTTCCTCCTGATGTTGCATTAGTGATGGCCCACGCTGCTTCTTTTCTGGTGCGAAATTCAGCTTTTTGAAGAATTTCGATCAGTATTGGAAAAATATTTGCATCTATAACAGCCTAAGAGATGAAATTATAGTATTTTATAACCATTAATAAAGATTCAGTATACACCTAGAAAGAACATCAATACCCTTTCACTACCAGGGTCAGTGATGCCTGCTGATACCAACCTGTTTTGTCAGAAGGCACCACACTAAGCAGAAACACTAAACTGGAGTTCAGAACTACTCCAACACTGCCCCAAAGCAACCATCAGAATACCTTCTTCACTGACTTCTCTGGCAGACAGGATACTGCTTACTGGAGAGGCCCGTTTAAAAATCATATGGCATAAGCACGACGCCCAAGTTGTTGAACTGGAGATCAAGCCTCAGAACAAAACTCCACTTTGGTCATTTCGTTCAGGTTTGTGGTCTCCACCTCAAGACCATGTCTATAATTGGAGGCCATACTATATATTTTCAATGTCATTAAGAAGTAACATTTTCATCCCTGATCGAAGTAGAGGGAAAAAAATCATACTGAAACATGTACTATGAATCAGAATTCTCATTTTTGCCAAACAGAACCTTTTTCTCAGGTAACTCCAAACAACTGAAGCAACAGTCAGGATTTAGTAGTTTCCACAATAATACAACTCAATACAACTCAGTGCTGATGACATCATGCAGTTTTTTTATCCAAGCAAAATGTTCAACATTTCCAAATAGGTAGGACTGATAAATTGTCCACTTTTCATTGGATTAGTTTGTGCAAGGTGTTTTGTTTCAACTTTTTAAAAAGAAAAATGGTTTATTACCTTAACTGTGTTTAACAATGCATAACTAAATTAAAGAGAATATACCAGTAGATGATGCTTCTACAGGGAAAAATAAAATATTCCATTAGATTGATATTAACAGTTAAGCATCTTTTTAATTTGTTTTATAAGCATCAACCAAATCCCATCGAGAGAAATGAACCAGTTTCTCTAGTACACATCATGACAACTATTTCTAAAGTATTTTTATGAAGTTATTTGTAATAATATTTCAAAATTTAAAAGAAAACATTACAGTCAGTCCTAACTGTCTATAATTTTAACTAAAACAAACAATGCATTGTCAATGTACTAGCTATTTGTTTCTCCTTGTGAAGGAAGTCAAGTGAACATGTAAAACGAAAGCAAAGCCAACACAGGTACAAGCTTTACCTGAATCTGAGCTGTGTTTCCTGCAGTAATATTAGACACAGTCCAGCACGCCTCCTTCCGAATAGATTCCTTGGGACTACTAAGCAAGTGTAAGAGACAGGGTAATGCAGAGCAGTTCAGAATCACCTAAAAAAAATTGAGAATTCAAAAACATACATACCTATATAGGCTTGTGCAATATACATACATATATATATAAAAGCACTTTACAGAAGACTTTTGTTGCAAAAAAGGTTTTGCAACACATTTATACTATAAAGAGTATCATAGATAACATCCTGTAAAATTAAAGTGTTCAGTGCTGTAGTGTGTGACTAGACAATCCAGCAATTTGAAAAATTCCACCCTCAATTCAGCTCATACCAGGAGACTGACAACAGCAAGACTAAATAAGGCTGAGGGCTACAATAACTGAGAAATGTAAATCTAATCTGCACAGTTATTTGTTAATTTGTTGGTTTTGGCTTTTGTTTGTTTGTTTTTAAACAGACAGGTGTTTTATATTGACTTCCCTAGCAAAATCCTCTCCTATAGAGCTCACAACAAATTATGTAGTTAACTTATTTCCCTATTTTCCCTTACGCTGGTTCTATTAGTCTTTTAGAGACAATTTTCTTTAAAGCAGGACCTGTCTTGGTATTTCCTGCATCACTTCCAACTCAATACCATTGCCTAAAATTAAAAAATAAACCTTTAGAACAAATTCATGGACAAATCAAGTATGACTGTTGCTTACAAGCGACAACTTCTGACTACATCTGAAGCCTTTAGAAAAGGTAATGACAATAAATAATTGAACCCTCACTAAAGGGGATGGGGGGCAAAGTTACTTTCATTGCAGATGCGAAGCAACAGTCAAAGTACCATATGGGAACGAAGCAGAGCACTACATACGGTGCTGTAAGAAAATGTTCATTCTTGGAGTAATTCCATCTTTAGGACAACAGCCTAAACTGTCAGATTAACAATACAGGTTTGTACAGAGCTTCCTTAATCAGCGTATGCAGATACCTGTACTGGACATGTATTTTGTCACAATTTTTACAAAATGCTATCCTGAAAATTATTTTTTCTTAAATCAACTTGTCTTACCTGTGTTTGGATATCATCCCCAGTAACAATATTTCCAACAGCTCTTAATGCAGGGGATACCACCTTGTAATCATTATGCCTGGAAACGAATATTAAATTGATTGATATTACCAAGCGTTGAAGTATAACTTTGAATTTTCAGTGAACAAGAGTTTACTTCAGGTGCCAAATTAGTTATAGACAACACCGCATTACTTCTTACACTTTCATAGAATCACAGAATCATA